ATAATTAGTTTATTTAATATAATCTAATTCACGTTATATTTCAAAATCATGATTTTTTTACCGTGTATTTTTCATATATAATAATTTTTATTGTGTATTTTTCACAATTATACGATTATTCATCTATAACAATGTCATATATTTGTTGCATTAATGTTTATGCGTTTAAACGAAATTTTATTTTAACCATTTCTTAGGCGCTGCACCGATATTGCGCTTTTACTTTGTTCTCGCTGATTGCCTTCTTTGATCGAGAAGATATTATCGTATCGTTTAAGGGTGGTGGGACGAGAATACTTTCAGTCAATAATCTTTAAACATCGTTTTGTCTCGCTTAATGAGTTCATTGCACATGATTGAATTGCTATGACAATCCCGCCCTTCGTCATTTACATTTTCAAAGATTTCCAAACGTTCGTCACAATATTCACCGTCGTTTTATTTGAAAGAATAGAGAATCGAAGAAGTTCTTGGTGTTATAAAAATCGCGTTTTTCTATCGAGACAGAGACAATTGAGAGCGACCTTTGTTGGCTCGTAATCGAGCAATAAAACGATCCAAACGAGCACTGCCTTCGTAATGAGAATTTCTTAACTTCTAACAAAGACTTTGAAAACGAGGCTCGAAGTTTGCACGTCGGAAATTTACACAGCAACGAGTGACAAGACTGCAAATTTTCTTCACTGTCGTCAACGGTTTTGTTATTGTGGCGATTAAGTTCCAGATGTCAAAATCTCAACGTTATTTATTGCATCGAATTGTTGCCATAAAATTTGCAACAAAGTAAGTTGTATTATATGTTGAAAATATATAATACTTTTGTTGAACTAGTAGTTATTAGGGAATACGTAATTAAAGTACATATGTGCCTTTTGTATTTGCAAAAGATACCTAGAAAATACTAAAGCGCAAAGTATTGTATATGAAACATTGTTTTAAACAATAAATAATGCGTTGCAATTTATTATAAAATAAGAGAGAAAGTGAAATTTACATAAACATTGATATAAGAAAGTGGCAAAATATAATCTCTTTTTAAATATTCCTTTATCTATGGCTTTAGACAGTAAATTAAATTTTATGACTTTCGGAGTTCAGTAACTCATGGCAATTTATTCGCCCGTACTTAGGTCATAAATAACAGTTCCTCAGTTTTAACGTCGGTCGTTTTTGATGTCGCGGTAAAAGAAATGGATATTCAAGTGCTTTAATCGTTTTTCTAGTTGGATGACCGACGTTTATTCGCGCTCACTTGGGAAAAGACGCTGTAGATGGATCAGACAATAAAGACATAGAGTAGGAAAAACTAAATGTATCCGTAACAAGGGTACGAAAGGTGTCCGAAAGAATGCTTTTCTTCAGTTTCGTCTCACTGTTTTTAGTAACAGTTTTTACTAAAGTCTAACCTTTTGTGAATTTATTACTCTTTGAGGCCTTTAACTTGAACTAATGTTGACGTAGCCTAAAAGAGACATTCGCAGTTAGAAAGCTTAGTTCGCTGCGATATTAGATATCAATTTAGCTCAGTATTTAATTTTGGTGCAAATGTCAAATGTGTTACAAATTAAAATAATTAATCTAACGATGATAACAATACAATAAATATTAACATGTTTATTTGTAATATTTACTCTAGTCATTTATAAATACTAAACACGCGAATTTCTCTATTAATATACATATATCTCTGTAGTCTTTTATTCATAATATTTTATTTAAACAAAACTCAAGGAAAGAAAATTACATATATTACTTAAATCTACATTTGTTTTTGCACATTGTTCTAATTCTTTTCTTTTAAGGCCCCTGGTTTTCCTTCTCTGGTTAGCTGTTAACCAGAGGTTAGTCGACTCTCCATATTTTTCTACATTATTATCTAAGAAAAGACAGGTAATCGATTAACATCTGGTTAACGTTTAGCTAGAAAATGAAAAACTCGGCCTAAGTCACATCCTCGGGAATTACACAAATGCGGTTTAATATGCAGCATCCAATTATAATTATTAATACATCCGATTATTAACATATGTATGTCATGTTAATTCTATAATCTTGTTAATGTATATCATGCTAATTACATAATCTTGTTAATGTCATGTTAATTCTATAAATCTTGGCACGCTACGATAATAATAATGTTACAAAGTAACACTTGTATAGTAAATAATTAGTAATAACTAAAGGAAGAAATAAGAAATAATGCGGATAACTCGGAGCATCCCGAATCTAACTTCAATTAGAATAATGATATAATGTAATAATGTGCGGGATAATTCGCGGCGACTGAAAATAGAGCGGGCCACCTGCGTTATTTCCGGTGCACTGTATCGAGCGATATTTGCTGGGAAAAGTAGTTAAGAACTATATAGTGATATAAGAAACTAATAAAACGTTGAATACGCCATATAATCAGATACATGCGAAGACATTGATGGTGTTTGACATAAACTGTCAATATCTCTCGCGACGCTGCGAAAGCCCATGGGAGAAATAAAGCATACGATCTGAAACGCGGATTATTATCGTGTACCTCGCGACATTATATGTGTACTTACATGCCCGTTGCTGTGGTACATTATACATAATGCATTATGTAAATGGACTGCCGACAAATGCAAATCGCATGCATATAGTTGAGTCATGTGTTCCCATACTAACGAAACTGTTCGGTTAACCACTTAACATCGTAGCTAGGTATCAGCCTGCTGGCTATATGATTATCATGTGTAAACGCCTGAGATGTCTCACAGGTACCATCGTTCCGTCTCTAATTGCGAACTAGCCTCGAAGGAAAATTAGTTCTATTCGACGAATACATCATTAGCAATCAAGAAGACGCTCTAAGAACCGTATAATTTTTGTTTACCGCGTGGAACCATACAAAATGGAAATAATAACAACAGTAATAACAATAAGTTGGCATCCACGTGTATTTTTATCGATAATAACTTTGCGAGGAAGCGTTAACTTTGCTGTAATGGCGTAGACGAGACCGACGATTCCTCGCAGAATTTTCAGTCGAATTAAGGATTGTAATGAAATGCATCTTCAGCGAGGTACGAGCTGCTGCAATTTCGAGGAAAATTACGAACGTCATAGTTCTCTTTAATGCATTGGAACTTTCTTCGAGAAACATCGCGGCGCCGTAACTTTATTCACCGAAGCGCACAAAATTCGCGGCAAGTGAAAAAGGGAGGAATAACAATAACGCGGGGAAAATTCTCATGGCCCGTCCCATCCCCCCCCCCCCCCCATACGTTCTTCCCCATAATCTTGAACGTAGGTTCTCATTTTTTTTCATATTAATCCAAATGAGGTTATATCTTGTCTTTCAATTTCCCGTTCATTTTTCGGTATTCTCTTTGGCCGCGACGCCGTGTATGCAGCAACATCTCAAACTCCCTTTGCTGTTGCGTACCTCACCGAAAATCCTCTTACAGGTTTTATCGATCCAACCTCAAAGAGCTTTGCGCAGCGCGTGTTTGTGTCGTCCTGTGCATAAACTATTAGTCTTAGTACAGTGTTGCTTCTCGACTTCGCCGACAGCTTTCTGTTCTGCCATCCTCATGTTTGCTCTGCAAATGCACTGTTATATTGTTTTACGCGATTTTGCTTCCACCTTCTTCTCGTCCTTGAACGCTTATTTTTCGTCCTCGTAACTCGGCGTCCTCGAGAATCAAGAAACTCGAAATTGAAATCACACATCTCGATCAACTCCGACATCCGTCACCTACTTTTCTCGGGATCCAACGAGACCCTTGCATAACTCAATCACAGTAATTTGCCGCATCTTTTCAGAAGTTCTCTGGCGACACTCGAATTTCTTAGATTGAAGAAGTCGTATAATCAAAGAAATATCGCGATTTCTACTTCGCTAGCAATCGCGAAAAGTTGTAAACAAGCCCGAAAAAGGCGCAGCACTCGATATTTGATTCGCCTACGAGAGCCGGTAGTTCCTATCGAAACTCTCCATCCGGTGATCTCAGCGTTACGGGTTATTTCGCTCGATACATACATTGAATGAATCCTTGATTGAATATCGAATTGCGGTTCAATAGAAAAGAAATTGAAATCACCGGTGATTGGTAAGCTATCAAGTATATAGCTGTAAGTGATATAACAAATACGAGACTACGAATCATATTCCGGTAAATGTTTAATCTTCGGGAATCGAGTTCCCGTACTTTATTTTTCCTTCTAATTAAACCCCCGGTTCTTATAGATTATTGAAAGTTATTGGATATCGCCGGACATTGTACAGGAATCAACTTTCGATAATTAAAATTTTTTATCATTAGCAAAACTTTCTTTCACTTGATGCAAATACAACGGTAAGTCTATACTCCCAAAAATTATAATGAGATTTATTATTTATTGACGCATTGAGAATTTCTCAAAAAGCATGTTATATTGAAAAATATGATTATATACTGAAAGGAAGATTGATCTTAACTGAATGATAATTATTTTAACAGAATTAAAATAGAAGATACAAAACTGTAAAAGCAAAATGAATATATTTGATTTTTTAAAAAGGATACACTGAAATGTATGACCAAGATAAAAATTAATTATCTATTTTGTTTTAATATTTATAAGCGACACTGGAAAAATATACGCTTTGTATTTTTTTTTGTATCAAAATTCAATAGAGAATTTTGGGTTGACCAGAATATTGATTACGCTGATGTGTTGCTTAATCAGAATTCCGATTATCGGATTGTCATTTATCTGAGACACCGCTTATTCGATACGACAAATGCACGTCGTATATTCCGATAATGCACTGATATTGAAATATTGACATTGACGTAAAACTTAACGACACAAATTTCCGCGATCCGGATGACTGATGATAGTTAGATATCGACAGAAATGCCTGATAGCGATTGTAGATAATTGAATAATTATCATAAACAAATTACTATTAACCGCAAACAGAAGTTTTATATTTAATATCGCTATTTAGAAAGTATTTCAGATATATTTAATATATCTATAGAAGACACACGATATCACATTAATACGGTATTGAATTTATAATATTTATTTATCTATTAACAACATAGTATCGCAATTAATCGTCGTAATTAATCGTCGTTTACAGGAACAACGTTAATTAACCTACATGCCGTTACTTAGTCACGTCAGAAGTTCGTAATCAGAGCCGCGTTTCGATTTTCAATCAAGTAGCCTCTAGATACACTGCTACAATATATCTTAGCTAATTAATTTTATAAGTATATATGTGACGAAGAAGAATATAAATTGTATAATTTCCTGTAAAGAACATGGAATTACTATGAAAAAAATGCATCAGAGAACAAGGTAATTTCTGGAATTATTGCGTCTGGACATATTTTATTACATTGTTCACGTTAAACTCGGTTATTGCCACAATTTCCAACATTACATTGCGTGCAATATAGTTCTCACCTGTTTCACGCATTATAGATTTTAAAATGTGTCTGTAGAGAGACTATACTCGTGTGAATTCCTCTTGTCAAGAAAAATTGAGATATTTTAATGATTTTAAATATTGCTGTTTAAAAAATTACTGAAACCACAATTTAATCTTTTGACAAAAATTATCCCAATAATAATATATTACCTTTATCAAATGTAAAGAAATTGCTTCAATTTTGAAGCAAACACTGTCGAAGTTTGTCGAGTAACAAAAGCTCGAATCTATCGATCTCTACAAAAATCAAGATCGATTTATAAATTATGAATCCTTAATATCACGAAATTTTGTGTTTAGTAAAAAAAAATTATTTTCTGCTTACATTATGTTTTTACATTAGGATTACTAGTCATTAAGACTAAATATTAAGAATATAAGGAATACAATTATTCTCTAAAATTGTTTACGACAACCCATATCCGACGTTTGATGTAACAAAGGTGTTTGTTAATTGGATGTGTAATTATGACAAATAGATGGATGGATAGCGGCGAGTAGTCCCCTTACAGGGCGGTTAGTTTGGTGCCTTAATAGAGGGTACAAGGGTTTAGAGATAGAGCCAGGCCACAGGAATCCGCGACGGCCGGTGGTTGGTTTACCAAAGGCCATCCATATGGGACGTGGTCCAATATCGCGAAACCTGATACGCACGGGCGATAAACGCGGGTCAAAGCAATACGTGGCAGTAAAAACTCAACCGTCTCGTAGCTGTACGCTTGTGCCAATATACCCTATAGGCCACTCTAATCGCCTGTCGGCCCGTTGATTGCCTCCTGAGATGCTGAACATTTCGTAAATATTTATATTATCAAGGATTCGATTACATAGCATTATAAAAGTAAAGATATCATTCTTACTTGAATCGTTAATACAATAAAGTTTTCAATGTATTAAAAAATTAACAAGTAATAATCAAATAAATTGCTCGCACTTTTTAAAAACACTTTATTAAAAAAAACGCAGAAAATGTTTGTGAACATACATTTTCACAAAAATTTTGAAGATATGCAGGACTGAGTTTTTTAATTTATTAAGTAACGATTATTTCATGCTTTAACTGCAGTAAAACTATGACGGAAATAGCGAATATATTGTTAAATAGTATATGACCTAGTGTCGGAAAAGCTTGCGAGTGAGGATCATTAGACTAGCTCTCGCGGTTTCAGACAAATATTTGACTTCGGAAATCACCTCCCGAAGAAGATCGAGAAAGAAGAGAGAAAACGAGACGAACTTTGGCAATAAACTCGGACAAACCTGACAAGATGAAAGTATCTCGTAAAAAGTTCAGGAAGAATTTATGTTGTTAGGTACCGTAACTGTCGCTATGTTGTCTACTTCTATTCAACTCTCAAATTGTTAACCAATTACTGGTATAAGATAAGAAAATCCCTTTATCTCTAGCTCTCTGTTTAACTCTCTCAAAGTTCTTTAGAGACTTAATCTGATTTATCCAACATACATATTGTTATATTAGAGTAAACTTTCTATTTCATTAAAAAGCGAAACAATAATTAGATTAATAACTAAAATGCTAATGCTACAAACACAATACTGTTACTAAATACTAATACCTTAAAGTAATTTAAATAACTGTTACATTTTATTTCAGGCAAATTTGAAAGTTTAATGTTTAAATTAAACTTTATACATTAATCAGAAGAACTAGAATTACATTGGTGATGAGGCATTTTAATTGTATATTGCGTTTACATCATACCAAAATAAAAATTATACAAGTAGGAAATGCAATGCAACGTTGCGATTGAATTCGTGCCAGCCGTTTCCGTTTTACATTTTACATTTGAATGTATAATGCTGGCTTGGGATTAAAATTGTTTGCATGTAAAGTCAAGCGTATTACACGTAAATTACAAATCAAATTCACATGTGACGTTAATACGCATAATGCTTCTATTATTACGATTTCCATGCAAATCGCTCTATTACCGTGCCAATGATTAATGGCTGTCCCCGAGAAAGATAACTAGGCATTAAAAAATATCGTACGTACAGCATTGTATATTGTACGTGTTCAAAATATAAATTGTAGTCGGAACCGACGAGTGTCTACGTGGTAGAAACATTGCAATAATGAAATACCTGCCAGCGTGTCAAAGTTGAAACAAACGTCATTTTGAATGCAGGTCCAACAATCGAGAAATGAAGCAGGAAGTATCGGCAGTATATCATTTTTGTTATCGACAGCACATCATATATTTTCTATAGGACGAGTTTATGTGTCGGTTAATGAAGGATCACTTACCGATAATAATTATAAAGTTTCACAATTCTCGTACAGAATATCCGGAACAAAAGGAATAAAAATTATATAACAAAATTATATTTTAGTCTTATATTTACTTTAGATATGAGGGCATTAGCGATACAATCTTGCTCATGTTTGTTGTCGGAAGTTAGGTGATTGAAGTTCGATCAAACTTAGAAAGGAGACCTTAACGTGAAAGGACTAACCAATATCTACGTTTTATGTTACAAAAGGAAAGCCGTGAAAAGCTTTCAGGACACAAACTGGGGACCTACTTTAGAGAATAGAAGATCTTAAAAAGTTGGTAAACCTCTGTTTAACATACTTGACATGCATGAACAATGGTCGTAAATAAACATTCAAGTATATGTATAAATGTGTATAAAGTTTTAATTTTTATTTAAAATATCTAGAATTCATAAAAATTAGAACAATTTTTAATGTTATTTAACATCGAAATTGCAACACTTATTAAGTTTTAATTAAAAATTAATAAAACTTTGGTTTTAAACTTTAAACACTATGATGTAAAATTTTAAAGTTTGGCTACAATTGAACTACTGTATTAATTTAACTAAAACTATTTAAACAATTTATGTACGATGTAGTTTGTGATTGTAAATATAGAATTTATATTGTATATCTTATACAATAAATTAAAACAAATTAGGATAATAACAAAGCAAATTTGATATTTTCGTCGACTATACCTTCTTCAAAATCGAAAGTTTTTCAAACTTGTTCTTTTAGATATCGCCGGCTGGTCGCTGAACTTACGTGAGACCAAAAGTTTCGTTCGTTACGAGACTCGAAAGCTCGTTCTTTAAAAGACCAAAGTATTCTGGCGAAGTCCGAAAAATCAGATCGAACATTTCTGAAACTAAAATCGAAGAACGACTTATAAAAGTTAAATGTCCTATTTGAAATTCTTTAAAACACATGATATGAGTATTATATTTATAATAGACATGACGGTTATGTGCTTGCTGCATCTCTGAATATCAATCTGTGAAATTTGCATAATAAAATATGTATAATATCTCCTGTATGTGCCCTGAATAGATACCAAGCTACGAGTGAATGTGATTTATAACTAATATAGCTTACAATATTGTATTTTTTACAAAAAGTTTTACTTTTCTTTATTATTGAAATAATATTAAATGTATATTTCATATTAACACATTTACAGGCATGACGATCACCTGATCAAGTTTTAATGTTTACGTTTTTGTTAGAAATTATCATCAGTGACTGTTATGGAGCGACTGTCAAATAAATATCATATATCAATACCATTTTGTGCAACTTGATACTGTAAGTTATGTATTTTATTGTTTTTAATATAAAATCATTCAGTCTGACACGAATAAAAAATCAATTAAAATACGTTTGGTGGTGAATGTGTTAACTATATACAGTTATATAAAGATACGCAGTGACTCACGGTTAAATATACTGCACAACAATTATCAATAATTAATTAGCGTAAAAACGGCAATCGACAAACGTGACGTTTCAATATCAACATAACAAACAAACAAACAAATATCTATAATCGTGTTAGAAATATATTTATTTGTGACTTCTCTTATTACTTGGTAAAAGCAACTCGTAACAATAATATATAATTTAATTAATTTTAGTATATTGACTAAACACACGTACACGAAATGAATCTCTGTAAATTGGCTAAAAAGTAACTCAGTATTGTATTAATTGCATACTAAATTTGTACATTACTTTTTAATTTGCTTGCTGTATTTATAATTTATATAAACTTTAATTAATCAACTTGCTAGTAAGTTGTGCCCTAGTTTACCTTCTTATTCCATCTTTTTCTTACAAGATACGATATTATAAATTGACATTTGCACATAAAATGCACTAAAATAAATAGTACTCATAGTGTAAAATAATAGTTTTTTTTAATATTTTTATTTGGAAGATTTAGCTCGGTAGATTTAATCCGTAAAAGTGAAATATGTCAAAGCTGCAAGTCCATGAAATGGACTTTATCCGATTAGACTTTACAGATTTACGGTATCAACGTGCAGACTCAATTCGTGATAGACTCAATCTGTCAGATAGAGCATTTCACATTCGTGTACGATGACAGGTAGCGATGACCGATCGAACTGTCCGACTAATCCTACGGGGAATCGACCATTATATACGACCGTCTGTTGCTTCGATGGTTCATATGCAATACTCCCTAAAGCAAAGCCTTAGATTACTATGTACGAAATTTACGGGTCAAAGACGTATCTGTAGATTTGCCGAACCGTAACTCGTGTTTCAGATAATAGCACAAAAGAGGTGGAGCGAACCGGGGAATTAAGCGAGCCGGGGACTTAACCCTAGAATGATCTTGTATTTGCTCCGATGTTAAATTAGGGCAACAAAATAAAAGACCCCCTTTAATTAAAGCTTTTACTTTAGTAAGAAGTATGAAGGTACGTCTTTATTTATTGCCGCTCTGTAAATTGAGTATTTATGTACATTTCTCGCGCACTCTTTAGGCTAATCAATTTTAATAAATTATAATTTTGTGACAAATTGGAGAAAATAAAACATGTGGTTGAAAGTAAAAAAATATTGAGTGGAATATGTAACTTTAAGATTGTGTAAGAGCTACAATCGTTCAGGATTAAAAGAAGTATATTTCGCGGACAAAATTGAGAATTAATTTTCTAAATACAGTATTTCGGATATTTTTGGTGTGTAGCTTTCTCATAATTTTTTCATACTAATTTGTTCATTTCTATTTCAGGCGCACCACATTGCGATGAGATAACATTACGACGGCAGAAATGCACGTGCATTCGTTTGCATCGAATCGTCGCGACGCTGAAGAATTCGTCCGTGTTTTGAATGGAAGCACAGTGTCAAGTTAGCACGAAGAAGCAGTGTACGATCGCATCAATCGTCGGCAAATCGCCGTCTCGTGACAAAAACGGTGGTCGTTTCGAGCAACAAATTCCGCACCATGAGGACCGCGTGGATCCTCTCGTTAGTGGTGTCGCCATTGTTGGTGCTAGGTAGTTCCCCCACTACCACTCTTAGAGAGGGAGGAATCAAAATCGGGACTGGTAGAGGTTCAGTTCCCAAGAGCATAAGCACGGGCAGGGGCAATTCAGCAGTTCGTATTGGTGAGAGATTATCGAACACGACGAGACAGCGATCGTTTCCGACTACCACGACCACCACAACTGCACCTACGCGTTTCACTCCGCAGTCTTCTGTGGGGAATAACATTAACATCACCGATCTCAAGGTAAGGACCTTCCTACAAATTGGCTTTACTAAGACAGAAACATCTTCGAAAGCACGTCCGTCGAAGAATCGTTTCATTAAAATCGAATACGCTGGGAGGAAAACATTTTGTATCTGTTACGTAAGAAACTTAGAGTATAATGGGAAATTTTGCGATAATTTAATAAAAAGTGCGATTGTGTGTGTGACGTTGAGAAAGCCCCAAGAACTTTTCATTAGTAGAATTTGGAAACTTGTGTTGGGGAAAAGTTATCAAACTGCAGAGTAGTTTGGTTGAAAAATAAATGTATTGTATTATTTGGTATCCACAATGAATTATACATGTGTTGTTAGAAACAATTTCAATCAGAAGGTACAATATATGCTGTCAAAATAAAGACACAATACATGTGAATAAAATCAAAGAAATACCAGCTTTTCGATGTATCTTATTATATCTTATACAAACTTTTCTTTGTTCTCGTAATTCTACAATGGCCAATTATCATGTAATTTTGAACTTATTTTTCTTTTTGTTCGTTAACGGATCTTTAGTCACAGAATTCTTCAAATAAATTATTTTGCCACTCGGTTATTTAACTCATATAATACTTTTTGTACAAATTATACCCTTCGAGCAGCCAGCTTCATTTAAATGCGATCGACGAAAAGTTTTTAACGTTTTGGGAATATTTGGCGCGGAGATAATCATCTTTAATAAATGTTAATGAATTCATCGAGTTAATAACTCACATTATTCGAGGATAGTTACCTTGGTATTTTTAAGACTTATTCGAGATAAAGTTCTCAGGAAATTTCTCGTTCCCGATGGATTAATGAATTCTTTCTCAATTTTTCAAACTCGTGTCTGCGCACAATGGGTCAATTTATAGGTTCTCGTCTCCATTTACTGATTGTAGCAAGTACCGCCTATGCATCGAGATAGAATGCATAATTAGAGCCGATAGATGTACGGTTAGTGGTGCGATTCGTTATCGATAATTGATGGATTATCCCACTTTTCTAAATTGAGCCTGTTACTCAAACGATATATAATACAATTTTGCTCAAATTAATGTCGACAGAGATGATGATTTCAGAAATGAAAATATACCTAGAAAATATTGCTTTATGTTTTTTATGAATATAATATGCTTGAAGTAAAGAATTACAAATTATTAATTTTTATTAGAATATTTGTAATACATATATCGCAGACGTAAATAAAATTAACAACATAAGACAATAATAATGTAGTTTGTCAAGGAAATCATATCATTGTTTACTAAAGTAATTTTGTTTTATAAAATCATGTTGACGATGGGTGAACAATAGTTGATTTCTCTGCTGGCATATTGAAAATTTTACGTTAAAGTAAAATCTTTTATAATTGTATTGTGCATCTAAAAGTTATATAAAGAGAATGCATTGGTGTATTGAAAGGATCGATTGTTTGTGCCGAAACGCTTTCCTTAAAATATTACTTCATATCATGTTTTTCACAAAAAGCATTGTAATGCTATGACAGTAGGCCGAAACGTAAGCCACTGTCCAGTCTCAGCCTACGTAGATATTCATTCACATCGATCGATTTATGCAACAGGTGCGCGTCGGTCTATTCTTGTGGTAATAAAGTGAACAAGATGCCCTTGCTGCAGTTTTCTGATCGCTTTGAGTACTTAATGCATTGTCGATCGTGATACGGCGAATAGGCGGCAAGTGAAAACTACAATGGTCTATTCTTAATATTCAAGAAGTGTTATTATACTGCATAATTGTGTATTCAAATTGCAATTTTTAAAACACTGGACAAAGGAAGTATTGATCGTCCAATTTAATAGCTAGATTATATGAAAAACAGCAGCATGATTATATAATACATTAAAAGTCATTGTTCATTTCTTCGTGTAATTGCAATTAGATATAAATATACCATTTATATATTTTAATATCATTTATTTATATTTTACTATATAATCAAGTTTAAACATCGTATTCCATAACTTAGATTGTATTTTAAATAAATGCTGATTAAAATGGGACGTTGATTTTTTTCGAAATACCGTTGCGACATTTTTGCATTGGAAATGCGATGCACGTATGGGAAACAAAATGAGAAATTTTAATATAATGGAAAAATTTTTATATTTTTAAAAAATTTTGCTTTGAAATTAATGTAGTTAAAATTCTCATTGTTTTACTGTAATTAAATATTTTACATTATATTTTTTTAATATGTAACCCTAGGAGAAAAAAATACATGAATTGACACACGCAATAGCACTTAACGTGACACGCGTCTTATCAAAATTTTATATTTTCTCTCTTAAATTCGTATGGCATGGACATAATATTATGAAAATTCTTTGATGAAAAAGTATAAATAAAAAATAATTTATCATTGAAATTGTGACCGATTATTATCTAATAACGACGTAATAAAATAATCCTGGCAAGTTGCTCGAACATTAAATAAATATGAATTGAGGAAATTGCAACAAAAAGGAAAATAATATGAGATATAATTCAGCATAATGTAACAAAATTAATGATAAAGTAAAATAATATGACATGTAATGGATGCATCTCCTAGCGCAATTGTGCACGTCACGAGTGAACATGTACATCACACAATAGCACTCATTTCTAAACTCGGGCCATTTGTAACGTAGCGGACGCGTCAACTGCCACGTCTCGGTCGAAACTTGGCGAAATATCGTTTTGTACAACCTGTTGACGATCTTTCTCACCGTTTGACGCAACGGGAACGATTTATCACCTGACGGTCGGTGTTGAAACGAACACCGACCGAAACGCATGACGCATGTCTGTAAGAGAGCACGTCTGCAACACGCGCCTTACCAAAATTTCATATTTTCTCCGTCATATTTGTGTAACAGGTGGGCATGTTGGTGCCGTACAAATCCTTTGGCGTGAGAGAGTACACCAGAGCAGCCAGCTCTGCTATTAGCGCGCTACAGAGGAGTACGAGGGGTCCAAGGTTGGGGCTTTTCCAGCGATATGATCTTCGTGTCAGGATAGTGATGAAGGAGCTCACACCAAGCCCTACCAGTGAGTTTAATTTATTGCATTATTAATTTCATTTGATTGATGCTATTGTTGTTCACACACCGCTATTATATACGTACATTCTATTACGCTGTGTGTACGTATATTAACGGACATTATTTTACATTACGTGGAGAGCGAAAGAAAATTGGAAAATTCAAAGTGTTTTTGAAACGATTGTATTTTAATTTTTAAAGGGAGATGTTGTTTCTTTTTTCAAATACAGATGTTGACATTTTTGCATTGGAAATGCGATACACGTATGGGAAAGAAATTTGCATTTCTAGTGAACGAATAATACTTGCAAAAATTCTAGAACCTTTGTTCTCACTTTAAAATAAATTTGTTGCTATATGCGGATGTTTTGTGCTCACTTTTGTGAAAAGCGTAAAATAAGCCGTGCATTAAATTCATTGATTTGCAAGTGAAAAGATTACAAAATACTTTAAACGGTAAAAGGGATTCTCAGGCGTTAGTAACATTTTTATCTTTGCAATCATGGAAGGAGTTTATGTGCGAAACGATAAATCCTTAGAGTTTTCGGGATCTTGTTAGATTCAAGAAGAGAACAGAAAGTCGTAGATCGATTTGAGCCCATTTCCTTGGGGACACTGGAGAATTTTATGGGAGGGGTTTGGTCTTTATCAGACAAAATCTAAACGCTGGAAACGTTGGAACGTTGAGACGCTCCCTTCGCCAGTACCGTTCTTTGTGCCCGTAGGGTACAAATCAGCACTTTAGTCCCGCGATAAAGAGAACCTCTGTTGTCAAACGAATGCAAATCAGAAATGTAAAATGGCTTAGATTTAGCCTTTCTCACGACTTATGTAATTATTTCTTCGCAAAGCTTCTACGCGAAATAAGGTTACTTTATAGCTTTAACATGACTACAGAATAAATTTCTATTCTGCACGATCTCCTTACTACGTCACAGCATCTATTACAGTATGCAGAATAACGTAGAGAATGCCGAGTAATGCAAGATAATTAGGTAGCGAAAGCCAAAGCGCAAAGAGGAAAGCATGCGGATTATAAGCCAAGATTATTGGTCCAAGATAATATAATCTGGGAATTAATTTCAACTAGATGATTGATACAATAAACCAACAATTGATGAATAAAGAAGCAAATTCTATATTTACTTATAAATGGTCGGTATTTTTCATTTCGGCCAATGCATTCGCATTAGAAATGAGTTTATACCGCATTATGGTTTTTATTCTTTCGTTGGGAATTCATAACATTAATATTTGCGCTGAATTTTAACGTTGGAAACTTGCGTCAATTCCATAAAGCGTGAAGTGGATGGAAATGAAATACAAGCATTCCAATCATTGTGGGTTTTGATGGATGAAAGTGCATAAAATACATCTATTCTACTGTTTGCATACGCTGACCCGCAGTAACAGCTTCATATTCAATTAATTCAGAATGAGATAGGATTATATTGGATCGATGCAAATATTGATTAAAGGGAAAACTTTGGGAAGATATGAGAAAGCATTTAATAGTTAATCCTGATCTTTACCTGTTATCGGCACGATACTGAAATATGAAAAAGAAAGTTACATTTTATATAACTTTTCAGATTTAAAAATAAAGCAAAAATAAAGTAGGTGCACTCAAACTTGGTCACCTCGATATTTACAATTTTTTTATATTTTTTAAAAATATTTCAAATGTTTTGCATAGTTTAAATCAGTATCTGATGCCCGGAGTAACCTAAGTTAGTGCCTAAAAAGTGATTTCTAACTAGTCCAGAAAGAAAGAATAAAGTTACAGCTGAGAAAATTGTCACGCACAGTGTACACAACTTCGCTACAATGAAATGAAACGAGATGAAATTGTAATTACAAGGTTTACTGCAAACGTACAGGTTTTTGTAAAAAAAATTGTATCCTATTTCAAATCGCTAAGTTGTATTTCCTAATTTACACAAGTCTCATTAACTTACTTGTGGGTGGCGAAATTGTGAGCACTGTTAAATATGTAAAAAAAAGCACTTACTTTACACAGAAATCTGAGAAGTTCTGAAGACGAATGTTAAGAATGTCTGAATATTTCCAAAGATATTCGCAGTTCCTTTTAACAATTTGCCGTAACTTCACAATAGACCGGAGAAGTTTTTTCTTCTACGAGCATTTTAAGTTCGCGCGCGTATGGCAAATGACAGTGAGCGTGTCGACGAACGATCTTTCCTAAAGATCCCATTGGCGTTGGCGGAAATTTTCTGGGGGCTCATTGAATTTATGAAAAATCGGAATCACGTTGAAATCGGATGTTTTCATGCTGCCGCGCTCCGTCGAAAGAAAGAGAGACGTCGGGCGCAGTTCTGCCATGTAAATCACGTCAGGAAAACTGGACGACAGCCAGGCGCCGCTCGCACATCACCACGCGCCGCGCACCAACCCATCATCGCGCATCACGTTCAGTCATTGCCTCACGCGCTTCCTGAATGAATACACTGGCCGAGAAATGGTCGTGCTACTGCCGGAAATCTTAAGTGAGTGATGGCAATCACTTACCAACACGGCAGAGTCATTTGTCGGTCTATTAAATTTCCGCGCCCCAGGAAAATTCTAAACACTGCGGTGCAGTGAAAATTAATAGAGACCGCAATACAAAGAACAACGTAATGTGAACAGAGTCTCTATAAATGGTTATTATTTTTCAGTGCTTTGCTTTTGCGGATTTCGCTTTTATATTTCAGAAAATTTCTTTTGGGAGGGATCGTTTTTTCCTATACGAATAAAATGTATAGGGAAATGATTATTATTAAATTGGTTAAGAGTGACATGCTTTATTTTTAAAATTACTCTTTGCAAATTTACAAATCTTTCAATTGAGAAATTTACAAAATAGATTTATTTACTTAAACGCCTAATTGTTGTAATAATCGTCACCCGAAACATAAAAGTCTAAAAATTGGTTGTGTAATGTTTTCGCATCTTTCACTTTATTAAAATAGAAACATTTTGTCAAAATAGAACTGAGTTGAAATGAGTCTTAATTATTTTTAATCCGTGATTATGATCTGCAAGCTGTAGGTGATGATAATTTCCGATTGCTTTCTTGAGAAACGCGTGAAAGCTTTTCCGCAGCTTTTCCGCAGCTTTCTGCGACCTTATCGGACACTTCTAACAGCACAATCGTGATAACTGTATTGGGAAGTAGCGACCGCTCGCCGAAAACCGGAAGCGGCTCTGCCGCAGGGCAAATTGAACATCGCGGTTAAACGCAGACACCGCAACGGCCGACATGTGTAGAGTAAATCGCGGGCCACCGGCAGCAGTCACGATCGATATCCGTGCTTTCGATATCGCGAGGGCAATTTCCATATGCGCGATAACTTTTCTGTACGGTCGCGTTTGTTAAAAATGGAAATGGTTAGCTCCATAACTGATATGTCAAAAAGAAACTACTGTGTGATATATGTAGATCCAATACTTCGTGGACTGACCCTCGCCATGAAGCGAATAAAAGAAGAATACGTTAATATACATATGTATATTTAATATATGTATAACAAAATTTGTTTCTTATTTTTATAATTAAGAAAATGTATTAAGATTGAAGACGTCTATATTAAATCTAATTGCGGATGAAACAGGAACGTGAACGTAGATGTAAAACAGCATGTTATGAATTTAAATCAACGATAAGTACAAGCACTTTGGAGCTTTTCTTGAATACATAACTTCGGAAATTCTTTCGAAATGAATAGAATATATCAGAGGGAAAGAAGGAGAGAAAGGGAGAGAGTTGTACCAACAAACTTTCAATATACGGTTTCATATATCTCAACAATGAGAAAAGTTTGCACGAGCTTCGCGATTGTTGGTGTAGTTTTTGAATTACTCGCATATCGACGGCTATAAAGCTAGGTTTGTGCCAGGATCGTTGCGTGAAAATCCATCGGTAATTCCAGCTGGCGTCACTAAAGGAGGTCGCGCCATGCCTTGAGAGAGCGCTCTGTTCACCATCAAGCAAAGTGATCCACTCAATTTTATCGGTGACTCGATAATGTCGGCGATATCTGATCGTTGCAGATTCATTGATTATTTAAACTTTTGTTAATCATCGGTGTTCGATCCGGGGTAGAACGGAGCGAGCTTACGCGGTGCTTGCAAGCTGCCGCCATCTAACGAAAAATGACGGAACGTTTTTACACGTGAGTGTGCGACTTAATTACAATAGCAAGCTCTACGGCTAGCCATAACTTTTATCGATTTAACACATCGGGCGATGTTCGACTATTCTCTTTTAGTAAAATTATTAAAAATAAAATAATTATTGAAATTAATTTAGTCTTATTTGAATAAACCACTAAAATTCAATATTATAACAATATAGCAGATAACGCAATAAAATATAAAAAGTATAAGGAAAGATCTATACAACGGTACTTGAAACTTTATTGAGATAAAATGTATTTACCTCTAGAATCTGAGGCTCGAAAAGTAATAAAGCACTTATATAAAAATTATTATATAAATTTTATCGTTGTAAAAAACTTATAGAATTTTGTTATACATAAAGAGGTCATGTGTAGTCGCATTAAGAGGGAATTTTGGAGCAGCACTGCGTAATCTCGAAGTTAATTGGAATCAACTACTTAATCCCAGATTAATGCTGAGCTACATCAATTAAGCATATCGGACCAATTGATACAATTAGAAATTAGAAGCTTGGAGCCGGGAAGGAGACATGTAAACTATGTCTTTAATCTTAATTCCGTTCCTTTTCTTACCAATCTATTTAAACTATGTTTAAAGTCCCAAAATAAAACAAATATTATTTGCGAAAACATTATTTAAGAGTCTAGTGTAGCTTTCATTGAAAGTTTTGCACAACAACAGTTAAAAAATCTATTGCAATTATAAATGTAATAGTATATAATAATTAAATACAACGGTATCTAAAGGATAAAAATATACAGCTGTTTTAAAACATTTATATAATTTTATTGTCTTATTTCTTTATTATCATGTATTATAATTAAC